AGCCGAGACACTGCCAAGGAAACATTTTGAGTGTGTGTATCTGCAATCTAATTCTTTCAGTCTCATTGTAAAGTTCATGACTGTAGATTAGGATTGGAATGTAAGTTTGTTACTGTTAAACAAAGAGAAGTTTACCCTCAGGCTCAGCTCTCTCTTCACCACCATATTTATGTGCATTTACTGCGGGAGCTGCACCAATTTGTCTGGGGGCCTTCAGCTCCATACAAGAACAATACCTAGAGATGCTTGAGATTCCTCACTTGGACAAGCGACTTTCTCCCAGCAAGGGAGAACATTTCATTGTTTTCATTGTGTCCTCGCAATTGGAGTTGCTGACCCTCAACACAACTGCTTTACACTCATCTGCAAACTGTGTGCATACCAACTGGACTATGGCATCAGGAAAGAGCAAGTGATAAAATACCATGGTCACAAAAGTGGACACATTCTAGTTATTGCCTGCTGACAGTTTTAGTACTGAAAATCTTTCTCCATGGCCTCTCCAAAATCCTCCTGAACACAGGTTTATGCTTCTGCAACAGTAAAAGCTGCAGTCCTTCTGGTTGCCTGGTACGTCAGGTACCTGAGCTCCTTATTTTCAACCCAATGACTTTCTCCACATGTTCCTTCATGGGAAAATCACAGACAATCTTCTGGCCACAGCTCAGAGCAGCTGTTTTACCAAAGGAGGCTTTGAAATAGGCCCACTTGGACCGCTGAGATAAGTGTTCCAGTTAACTACTTCTAGTTTTACTTTAGGATCCCCGGCATATGGAAGTGTCCTTGGGCCAGATACTGAACCCCAAATTGCTTTGTGAGTGATTAGTTTCTCTCTGATGTGCAGTTGGCACCTTGCATGGTTGTCTTGCCATCGGTGTATGAATGCGTGTGAATAGGGTGAATGTAACATGAAGTGTAAAGCGCTTTTTAGTGGTCGGAAGATTAGAAAGCGATATAGAAGTACAGTCTACAGCAGGGGTTTTCTGAGACTGTCCGAGACTATGGGCCTCCCCTCAGACAAATCTTGGGAAACGGCACCCCCTGCACCCCCTCACCACCACCACAACCACTACCACATCTTTAGTATACTTGATAAGTTTTGCTCAATTCCTAGATGCCTATGGGATAATGATTATATTATTTGATCCCATAGACACTCAACATTTGAGCCAAAATAGCTTTTCTAGTCTTTCCTAAGGCATTCATTAGTTTCTGACTCTGATGGGGGGAAAACAGTTCCCAAAAACTACTGTATCTCTGAACTCTCACACATGTAGGCTATATTATGTGATCTCCTTTTGATAACTAATGCAATAAGTTATGTAACATTTTTTCACTTACATTCACTGAGCCTCCTCTGAAACTGTTTGGAACCCCCCACCTCCCACTTTGAAAACCCCTGGTCAACAGAATTTACCATTACTATGGTTTCCCTTATTGGGTGATTAAAGTATGCATAGCTATATATATTATCAACACAATTTATTTGCACTCTTAATCCATAATAATATCCTGTCAGTGAGCTGACTGGTTTTATTACCTGCCGTATGGAGATATTTTCTCATCGAATAAAATTGGAGTGATGGTGAAAGTAGACCAAAGTTACTGCATGTGAATGAGGAGGCTAAACTCTAAAATAACCACAACATAATCAGCTATCTCACTCAAGCCAGCAGGTGTTCCTCTCAAACAGGATTAATTTAAACCTCAACACCAGTGTAGACCTTATCAGATTGGATCTGTAGGGTGGATATCTCCCCTTTAGCAATCCTTAATGCAGACTGATACCTGAATGACCACTACCAAGACATCAATCTCTATTCAATTGCCTTCTGGGGAGTAAAACTTGGTAATAAGTTAGGGAAATGACCGCTTTTGCCAGCTGATGGTAATTCACTATGTATGCAAGCTGACACAATTATCAGCTGAGGCCTCTGATCAAAGCTTATGAAGGGTTTAGTAAAGATAAAGGGAGGAGAAGGGTAAGAAAAGTGGAGAGAAAGGGAAAGAGGGAGATTTGGGGAGTGGAGGGAGGTGTTTACAGAGTCACGTTTCAGAGACAAGTGTGAAAGTGGTATAAAAGATACAAAAAGACCCTTCTATAGTAGAAGAATGCCTCACTTTGAAGATTTTGTTTGGATTTTCTTTAGATTCTTCCCAGATGTACACAGACAATCTATTTATCTAAGACCTTTTTTCCCAGACTCAGCTTTCGTGACACTATGAAAACACGCTTTGATGTCATATTCTATGTTCATAATGACCACTATGATCTGGAACTATTGCTCGAACTATTCCCAGCACCATAGTGCAATTGCTCGAAATAGTTGCTGGGAAAGAAGTTAGGTAAAAATACAATCAGCAATTGTAAATGTACAAGCATAATTAATAGTTTGTAATATATATATATATATATATAGTTGCTGGGAAAGAAGTTACCAGCTACCGATAGAGCAGTTACTCGAGACTGCAAGACCAGGCAGACCAACCTGTGTACCGCCTGGATTGACTACAAGAAAGCCTACGATTCAATGCCATATACATAGATACTGCCACACCACGCACGACCCCAGGTGTGCCTGTGCAAGGATGCCCCTGAGACAGTACAGCACATAACAGTAGGGTGTAAAATGCAGGCAGGAACAGCGTACATGGAGCGCCATAACCAGATAGCTAACATAGTGTACAGGAACATCTGCCATGAGTATGGGCTGGAAGTCCCAAGGTCAAAATGGAAGACACCTCCTAACGTAGTTGAGAATGACCGAGCTAAGATCCTGTGGGACTTCAAGATCCAGACTGACAAACTGGTGATAGCTAACCAACCAGACATCGTGTTGATCGACAAACAGCAGAAGAAGGCTGCAATGACAGATGTGGCAATCCCAAGTGACAGCAACATCAGGAAGAAGGAACACGAGAAGCTCAAAAAGGGCTGAAAAAGGAGCTAGAAAAGATGTGGAAAGAAAAAGCAACAGTGGTGCCAATGGTAATCGGAGCAGGTAAACATCGGAGGTCTCTGTCCAGAAGAGTGAAGTCCTAGGAACAGCTAAGATACTGCGCAGAACCCTCAAACTCCCAGGCGGGAGAGGACCCGAGCTTGAGGATGAGACACATACCACCTTACAAGGAGGGTGAGAGGGGTAATTTATATATATATATATATATATATATATATATATATATATATATATATATATATATATATATATATATATATATATAGGCTTCTGAGTTGACAGTAAAAGCTGGCTATCTACCTCCATGTTTTGTACCGCAACGGTGGAAAATTCATAAATAGAATCTATAATCTTAATGTCTCTATTGGAAATGCAGCACAATTATCAAAGTCTTTGACAACAGCAACGTCTGATTTCCATCAAATTTCTCTCTACATTTCTGACATTTTTGACACCCCATAGTCTGATAGCCACATTTAAATGCGGTGACCCATGGCTGTGTCCTGTCTGTCTGTTGCCTCGTGTCTGCATCACCATCAATACTGTTCCTCTCCAACAAGGACACAAAATGGGCAGCAACAAAGATATGATGTGAGGACAGTAAGAACTGTGATTGGCTGTCTGAATTTTCTCCTAAAAGTTTGTGATGCCAATACAAAGTGATCAGTGAAACAAAGCATGAAGCATATTGAAAAAGGGCTCAGTCTTATCATTTTCAGTATTACACTTCTAGCAAAACCATTGCCATTGCAAACAAAGAATGATAATTTGACCACATGGAACAGTCTCATTCTCAGCATCACAATAGGTGAAATCCAAGGCTGAACTATAAATCAAAACCTATGCCATAGGTATCCATTTCAAGACTCCCGTTAAGCCTTTCTGTGATGTATAAATCCACCCTAAGAAGGTGAGGAACGGAAGTAGTGGAAATTCATTAAAAAAAGATGAGAAATTGTATCCTTCCATGGTCGTAAACATCTGTTACAGTCCAATCCTGTAGCCAGTTATTTCTTTATTGCACTGGTAAATATTTTATTCTGTCCATATATTTAAATCTGCAACTTTTGCATAATTAAGTTTCATTTTTCTATGATATGGTATGTGAAAAAACCCAAAGTTATAGTTTCCTCTGATGAAACTGCCACAAAAAAGCAGCTTATTTCATTCCTCTTGGACATGTTGGCAAGATGATGGGATGCAGTCCATGACCCCCCAAAATTAAAAAAACACTTTTGTGATAAAAGCAAAAGGAAACAACTGACAGGAAAGAAGGGAACCATCTGTCTGAGTCTGTATCTGTGTGGCTTTGTGTGTACAGCTCACTCTCTTTTTCTCATTTCTAGATGGAACAGATGTTTTTTTACAACCTCGCTGGTTATCTTCAAACACTTGAACCAGTCTTTCGCCCATCCGTTTCTGAAGGAATTGAATTATTGATGCATCTAGTATACCGTCTTGGGCTGCCTGCATTTAAATGTGAGAGATTTCCCTATTTGTAGTTCTCAAAGTGTTTACAGTTGGGATATCACACATGCAGTATTTGCCATCTTCAGGAGAGGTAATTGAGTGTGTGAATACCTTATCTCACTACTGACATAAGTCAACACTCAGGTGCTACAGTTGTATAGAAGCCCCACACAACTGCTGTACATCACTGCATACTTACCAAAATATAATTTGGGGGAATAAGATAGAGACAGAATGAAACCAGATGGTTTGCTCTGTGATTAACTATGGCACTTGGACTGTGGAGAAGTCCTTAAAGAGGGCACTAGATTAAAATCTACACACAAGGGAGACAAAGGAGAAAATTAAGTAGAGAAAAATGGAGGTACATCTGTCCGAGGAAAGGAAACAACACGGGGGATATAAAACAAAGTGAGAAGTTCATGAACAGCACTCCAGTGGTCAATAAAACAGCAATGAGCAATTATTATGCTTAGCAGAAATCAGGCTACTGTAATATAGGCTAAAATGTAACATGAACAAGCTATATTCTATACGGTTTTAACATATGAGATCATAGTGGACAGCATCATGTGGAACAATCAGTTTATTCTAATACTATTATGTTTCTTTGATGCTCTTCTGCATGACACTGATAGAATTTAAAAGAGGTTGCACAAGTTAGTTAGGTAGCTGTTATTATTCAAACCATTGCTTGGATTCATATAGCATTACGAAGCGCATAATTATGAACATTTTTGGTGCTATTATCCAAAGCCTCTTGCCTTGTCACATATATACATGTCAGTCCACCACATATCGGTCAGCCCACCATTTTGGTCCAGACTGAGACATCTGAGCAACTAGAGAATAGTTTGCTTTTCAAATTTCTACAGACTTTCATGGTTCCCAGCAGATGAATCGTGCTGACCTTTGTTATCCCCTGACAAGCCCCTTGTTTTCAGTTATCCTGTGAAACATCTCATCATCTTTTGGATTGGCACAAAATTTGACATTCATGGTTCCCAAACGATTAGTCCTAATGACTTTGGGCATACCTGGACGTTTCCTCTAGTGCAGCCATGAGGCTGGCAAGTGGTTTTGAGTAACTAACAACTATTGAACTGATTGCCATAACATTTGGTACTCACATTCATGCCCCTCACAGGATGAATTAATCACTTTGGTGATCTTTTAAATTTTTATCTAGCACCATGATCAGGTCAAAATTTGAAAACATCACCATTCAAAATGAATAACATCACCATCAGCTTCAGCTGTACTTTGCAGATTAGCAAATGTTGAACTAAGATGGTGACGACGTCACTGATTGTCACTGTCTCATTGTGAACATTTCAGCATCCCGTGTTAGCATTTAGCTCAAAGCAATGCTGCGCTCTGTGGCTGTAGACTCTTTATCTTGTTTTCAAGCTGCTGTGAGTTTACTTGTCACGTTTTCTTGTCTGCTTGCTTTGTGTTTGCTGATGCTGAAGAGATTTTTCTTTTCTGTCAATGATAAATGTGTGCACAGCAAAATCAGCAGTGCTAATTCAACACCTACACAGTTAAATTCAACACTTTAAAAGTGTCTATATTGGTCCACACTAGATCGAGTTAAAACAGCTTCTCTTGTTTGCTTATGAATGTCATTTACAAGCTCTTCCATTGATCCTACCATTGCTTGGACAGTGCACTCAGCAACACCTGATGCATGCAATTGTACTACAACATATCCACACAGGTTTAACAAATGATGCTTGTCAACAGAAAGGAGCAAGGAACAGCTAGTTACTGGAGTGTTGGTACCAACTGCCTGAGAACTTGAAGGCTCATCACCTTCATTTTGAGCATCCACATTGTTAATAGTATTTGGTGAACAAGTGTCCTTGTGCAAACGAACAAGGTGTTTTTTGAACCCTGAATACGTACAAAATGATAAAGAACATCCCGGTTGTCCACATTTCAAACGTAATGTCTTTCCTGGATATAATCCATGGTGAAGTCTCAAATGCTGACAAAGCAATGCAGAACATTTCTGGTGTGCCTTACAAATAAAACATATCAGCATATTTGCAAACAAGGATGTGTATCACCTCAAGTATTGGTGTGCAACAGCCTTGCTCTGAGCTCCTTTACTCTGGGACTTTCCTTGGCACTTCCCACATCGATTTTAAACACCGTGGTTAGGATGAATGTGTAGAAGCTGTTGAGGGATTCGTGGTAGTTAACACTGAAGATGAAGTATGCCTTGAAAAGCTCATCAAAAGCAGCCAGGGATGTTTGCGCCTTGCAAGGGATGGCCTTCTGGTCAACAATGACATAGAACCTCTGAATGCTGTTCTTCTGTTCACCAACACAGAGGAAGAAGGGCTGTCCTGGTTCCAAGCTCCCTAAGAAGGTCTCTACACTGGCTCCAATCTATGACAAACACACAGACAGAAAATATTAATATAAGTTATGCAACACAAGCAGAAGCAGTATGAGAACAACTGGATGAAAAACATTAAACATGGAATACCTTGAGATATCTCACCACATGGTTGACAGCTTGATATGAGCTGATTTTAGCACTCTTCTTGTGGCCTTTTGAGGTAGGGGGGAGCAGGTGAACCAGCAGTAGAATGCTTGACAGGTCCCTGTCCCAGCCTAGGAGCAAAGTAGAATAAAGTGTAAGATTTTCAGATACATTTATATCTTAAAATATTATTTAAAATATTACAGATTATGCCAAAGACAAGACTTAAGGTAAGAAGATAAGAATCTGTTGTGTAAATGTTTTAAAGGCAGAATGAGGCACACTTACCAGACTCATTTGAGTTTTGCTGCGCAGACAAGAGTTCTTCAACATGCTCGTTAGAAGCCCGGTTCTTGCAGTCTGCCAGGAATCTGGGTTTGAAGTACGTCGGCCATTTTGCCAAAAATCTGCCGGAAACCTCTTCTCCAAACATCATGGTGAAATCTTGGTCAATCTACAGAAGAAACACCTTAAGTCCTTGATACTGAAAGTATATTGAGTCATAATTGTTCCCTTCAAAAATAAGCTGATCAAACAAAGGTATGTCTTTCTTACCAAGCCGGGAATGTCGAGAAACCGCGGGAACACATCCAAGACTGTTGCAGAGTTTTGCTGGTCCTGAACTAGCGTCTGGCGGCATTGAAATGTTGCCATCATCTTATCTTTGACAACTGACACATCAGTTGAATGTTTCAATAAGGATATTGCCTCACGGCATTCCTTGCCGAACAGTTGCTTGTCAGCCAGGAGAAAATCCCTCTTGCTCTTTGGACCATACGTAGTGCTGGTGGAGCATCTCTGGGATTGAACTGCAGTGTTACGCTGGACGGTCTTTATCCTCCAAGCCAGGTAGCCAGACCCACTCTCTGCATCATAGTAGTGTTCCTGTAAAACCCCAAAAGAACAAAAGTATGCAACACAGGGGTCACATCACCACATGGCAACATTAGAAGAAATTAAGAACATACACATTCTCTTCATATCTTGCAATATAAGCCTTTAATTAAAAAACTTACATATCCGTTTCCAGAGTATGGATTGCTAAGGTTGGGAAATAGAGTGAAAAACTGTCATCTAAAAAGTAAAATTTTTAGATGACACTGTTATTGTAACAGTGTGTGTTACTATGTGATCTTTTACGTTTTTGTATGTCCTGTTGTTTTCCCCTGCTTTTTCCCCAACTGATCACACTTTTGTCCTCACTGTTGGCTTTGTGGGTACACTTCCATCTCTCATTTGTGCTGCCAGACTTATTATAGATTAGTCTTAATTTATACATTTTACTTGTGAGACAACATTTGTTTTCTCTTTAACTTTTACTCTCTTATATTCAAAGTTCTGTTTGATCTTTATAAAGTTGTGTTTAAGACACAAATCAGATTACATATAAAAACCCTTAATATTGTGTTATTGCTATAGGAGACCACAACAACCTGCTTTTAAACCACTGAACAGGGCTCTGTGACATAGGTACACACCCTTTTAATCAACAGAATGGACAACTAAATCCCCTAATAATATATTACTGTGGAAATATGATTAGCATCAAGTTGAACATTTAATACTTACCCATGTACTTCCATCATGTCTGCAACCATCTGTCGCCGTGTAGTATCCGTCAATGTCTTTGTTTTGTACGGTGGCTCCCAGGGCTCAGTGAGGAATATTTTTTTGAGGACTATGAATTTTTTTTTGAGGACTACTTTGCATTACCTCGCGATACTTTTGCATTCCCTCGGAATATGTTTTGCATTCCCTCGCAATACTTTTGCGTTCCCTCTCAATACCTGTCTTCTTCCGTTAGCCTACTTCTGAGCCATATGCTCAGCTGCTCTCAGCGCAACACTCCAGCTTATTGAATTTTACTTTGAACTGAGAATTTCGTATGTTGATATAGTAGCCTGTTACTGCTCAATAGGCATATTTATGTAGGCTTTAATCAAAAAGGACCAGGCACCACGGCGGGTGATTGCTCCAGAGGAGGGAAGACAGCCGGGATAGAGCCATGCTGGCCCAGCTTGGACGTAAGGTTGCTCCCGGTAAATGTCCGGTCTGGAGGAGATGGGACTCATGCTGCCAAACACCGGAAAATTGAAGACTGTTTTTGCCGACATCTTTACACAGACCTGCCCCATCAATGTCCTGGAGCGTGCAGCGGGCACACCGTGTTCTGTCAGAGCGCAAGGCTCCGCCGAGATGAGAGGAAGCGGATTCTGTGTTTACATCGGTGATGCTTGGTGCTTAAACAGTCAAAGTGGATGGACACTGTTTCCTACATGTCAGACTTCATATGGAGGCTACATATCTCACATTATGCAATACTGTCCACTCACTAGCCTATAGGCTAAATGTTCATGCTGCTACGGCACTTCCACACTGTTTACATAGCCGACTGTTATTAGGCTGCTCCCGCTACTGGCTTATATTTCAGAAGCTTGTAGCCATCAGGGCTCCGCTAATGTTAAGTAGCCTACTTCTGATGCTGCTATTATTTAAATAGGTTAGAAATAGGCTATACAGGTGAACATACTTCAGATTTAGGGTTGCACTATTAAGCTACGCACTTTATTATGCTCCAGCCCTGCATGCCATTCTCACTCCCCTGACAGTATACAGATCAGCTGTCTCGTCTAGTGTCATACTGTAAATTACCGTCTTATTTGTGCGGGCCTGACTAATAGTGAAAAGCTCATAAAATAACCTACTGAAGATGCATTAAAAATCACAAATGATTCAAAGTAACTTAATGACTGCTGCATTAAACAATAAATGCCATTCTTTCTTTTGGCTGGCCAGCAAAACATATTGCTAGGTAACGGAAAAGTATTGCGAGGGAATGCAAAAGTATTGCGAGGGAACGCAAAAGTATTGCGAGGGAATGCAAAAGTATTGCGAGGGAACGCAAAAGTATTGCGAGGGAATGCAAAATAACGCAAGTAGTCCTCAAAAAAAAATTCATAGTCCTCAAAAAAATATTCCTCACTGAGCCCTGGGAGCCACCGTAGTTTTGTCATATTCGTGTAAGATTTTTTCTCCCCCCGGCTTAGACTGGAGAACGTCTCTCACCATCTAAAAGATGAAGAACCATCATAAAGGTAGTCATCATGTTAGACATTCCTGCAATAAAACCACAGCTCTTCTACAGAATCTTTGTGTTTGAGGATTAATAACTAATTTCATTTATTACTGAAATTCCCCAATACCTCTTTTGCTGATTGCCGCTCAGTGTGGGTTCTTTTATATTCATTGTTTCTATCAAGAATCACTGTTGCACCTGATGAATCAGACGCCACAGAGGATGATGTGTCGGACACAGGCGACTCTGTAGAATGTGAGAGATCTTGATGAAGCACAACTGCAAGACATTTAAAAGAAACATACACATTTTAAATACTATTGTTTGCTCAAGACCCTCTAACAACTTCTTTTAGGCTTGACAACCAAACTGTCCAGATTTAAGTGAACTTTGAAAAACAAACACTCTAACTGAGCAAAGTCTTACCTGTAGACTTTTCTGTGGACACATGGATGGTAAGATTCCCTGCTTGTAAAAGCTCCTCAAACACATCCGCATCCACTTCTGTCCCAGATTCATCTATGACATGCAGCTCGGTCTGCATTGGAAGACCTAACTTTTTTATGACTGAGAGAATATTAGATTTAGGAAAATAAAGAAAAACACAGCACAGTTCCCATTATTATTAGTATTTAAAAAATTTAACAATTGGAACATTCAGAGCAGTGTGCAGTGTTTTTCTTTTTCTGCATTTTAGATTCTATATTTGGACTGCTTGACCAGAAATTATTACTGGCTAATATAATATACCCAACTTGGTGGGTGGGGCAATATAACCAGATTACAGTCCCATTGTAAATGGAAATAGACATTTTAGTAACTGATGACTTCAATGTAATGAATAAAAAAAAGGAAGAAGTAATCCCTACCTTTCTGAAGAAATGTGTTGTACTCTTCATAGCCCTCTTCAGTTTTGGCAACTTTAACATACTTCTGACTTTCACCAAATCTCACTTTGACCAACATGATGTGCTGTAAAGAAAAAAAGTACATTCAGAAAGGTAATGAATGAGAAATTGTGCACGTTACCGTGACAAGCAGCAACACAAAGAGGAAGTAAAGCTAATGGAGGCGAGTGAGACAAGTTAACATAACGTTTTAATTAACATTTCCCTTGGAAATGTGACTAACCTAAACAAAAACCCCGTATACTTATTTACACAATTTCATTAGAAAATAGTGACGCAATATCAACAATCATAAAGGTTCACATGAAACATGATAAAGGAAGCACTAAACGGTGGATGCTTTTATCCACACAAAATTCTTCCAAATTGCACAATGCCCTGTACGCAACATTACAGCAAGTGTGCACACTTTTTACACACCTGTGCAGCAAGCACAGATAAACTGTCCATGGAAGAACCAAGCGAGCGAACCTCCGTGACTCACGTTAACTGTTAAATCGATAAACATCTATCACATAAGCTGACGTTGTTACCACTGCATCCAACATCCAATTTTAAGCTAAACATAAAGTTACACACAAGTTACCAAAAAATGGATGTACAAAATGTTCATATAATAATGACAGAAGTACATTTACCCACCAAGTTACACACTTCCGAACATGTGCACCTGATTTAGTTGGTTAAGCTAACGTTAGCTTAAGATAGCTAGCTGCAACCCTCACATAAAACGTGCTGCAACTATTTACATCTAACGTTAAGCTATCTTCGTCCAGCTGTGGAAATGATTAAGGTGCAAACACATACATACACCAAGCATGTTAAGCTTATTAATTTATATTTGAAATAACGTTACAACACGAAGTTACAAACATACAGCTAATGTCACCATAACATTATCCTTACCTTGAAAAGAAAATGCTAACGTTACTTCGGTCTAACGTTAATTTGGCTTTCTGTAACGTTAATGGACCACTTTAACGTTCCTGGTTGTTCTGATTTCCCAATTAAGAAAAATCTCACCGTAAAGTTATTTGTTCCATTCATTGGATCCTTTTGAATCAACATTAGCGTGGTAATAACTGGTTAGCTAGCACTATCAAACCAACTAGGATATTAAGCATTAGCTAACTTAATCTTACATGTCCAAAAAATAGGCCCACCACTTAAATTTACTTACATGTGAATGCTCCCACTCACACTTTGAGCTATCCAGTCGAATCTCCAGTCCGATCCAGTCGAGCGGGGAAAAAAGCTGGCTGGTCTCCTGCCTCACTGCAGGCAAGTAACGGACATGATAGACTTTAGGAGGTAACACTAGCTTTCGAGTTGAAATCAACATTGTAGAGTTGAACCATCAATATGACATTTAGCTCCCAGTGACAACACCAACTCTTTTTGAGGAATAACTCTCTTGTAGTTAAATTAGATTTAAAAAGAGTTGAAATGACTCTACATTTTTACTCTCAACTCTAACACTGAAAATCTAACACTTTTGATTTTGCTGTGTGGCGTTGTGCTAATAGTGCTTCCTCACTCATGTAAACTGCTTTAGAGTACAGACTGTAGGCCACAATAGAATGCAACTCACATATAGCACAAGGCTGATGCTCTGCATTTTGATCATGTCCTCAGTGTACAGTATCATGAACCTTTCACCCTGACTGGAATACAGACAGTCTAACAGGCAAACACAGACCTCTACCTATGCCAGTAGAGGTCTGAACAAATGGTAATGGTAATGCTAGTACTTCAGGCATGATGGCCTTGAGCAGGGCACTAAAGAGGGAAATCAGTAAGATTTTTCAATACTCTAACCAAGCTATATCTTCAGTGGCGTCTCATGTTGTCAACTCTGTGAGTACTTCATGAGCTGCTGAGATTTCTGGCTTTAAAACTCACTTTGTCTGCCTGATCAGATTTTAAGCCCTTCTTCCTAACTTTTACTTTTTCAACACAAATGCATCCAGCTAAGCTGCAAAAGTACTCACAAAACAACTACTCAAACAACACCTACTGTGTACTGTGATGGCACTGTGAGTGCTGGCTTTGTTCTACACAAGGCAAAACAAACCTGGACATTTTTAGTATTCTGTTCATCTGTGCCTCTCCCCCAAGGGTGTCAGTATTGACTTTGGCAGATCACTTTCTCTGGAAGAGAAATTGTGTATTTATTTGAAGAGATACAAATAAACAGTGAATACAAATCTTTTTTGTGCAATATTGTAATTGATATTGCAGAGTACTGGTAGGTGTAAGAGAGAACACGTGCAGATTGGGAAGATGAGACACGGAAAGAGAGGGTGAGAAAGAATGGCCCGGAAAATTAAATAATCGAATAAGTCATGTTGGAAACTTATTAAGATTCACACTGATCAAAATGTGATCCCTGGAGTTTGAAGTTTCAAAAATAATTCTGAAAGAAAGGATATGAAAATAGATATGATCAGTATCTACACAAGAGACAGAATGGGTATGCTTGCTGGGATGGATCTCTTTAGCAATCTGGTGTGACTTTGAAGAATCTTTCCAGACAGTTTGTTTTTGGGCCAAACCAAGAGGACATTATATCCAGGTCACAACGCCATTATGCTTTCACTCACTTTCCAAAGTGTTTTCTAGCTCTGAGTCACAGTTAACCTGAGTAATCAAAAGAGACATGAAAGTGAAGCTCCTTT